CAAATGCACCGCGTTTGCCGTTATGCGCCACATATGTCCGAAGGCTTCATTTTCGTCGCAAATTGCACAGTTTTGTCAAATATGGTCCGATATGGGTGCAATTTGGTGCAAGGGTGCATGCTCAAACAACAGGTACAGATGCGCCGCATTTGCCGCAATGCGGCACATTTGCCAGAAAGCGCCATTTCCGACAAAATCGAGTAAGGGTTCTGGAATGGCACGAATAGGGGCAGGGCTGGGAACACTTTTAAGTCTGATATTTTAGTACTGATTGGATCCAATTATTCTGTGACCTGACATGACCCAGCGGTGTTGGTAGGGATAGGGGTAGTGGTAGGGGTAGTGGTAAGGGTAGTGTAGTGGTAGGGGTAGGGGTAGTGGTAGGAGTAGTAGTAGTAGGGGTAGGGGTAGTGGTAGGGGTAGTAGTAGGGGTAGTAGTAGGGGTAGTGGTAGGGGTAGTGGTAGGAGTAGTGGTAGGAGTAGGAGTATGGGTGTAGTAGTAGTGGTAGGGGTAGGGGTAGATGTAGTGGTAGGGGTAGGGGTAGGGGTAGGGGTAGTGGTAGGGGTAGTGGTAGGGGTAGGGTTAGGGGTAGTGGTAGTGGTAGGGGTAGTGGTGGAGGCAAAAGCAGAACAGTGGCCCGGGCTGATCCCAGCGGACGAGAGGTGACCTATGTGACCTGACCTGACCCAAAGCGACCGGGGCTGACCCCTTTAACCCGTCTTGACCCCGTATCACCCAAATTTCATCCAACAAAGCCTTCAGAACAGTTCTTTTTTAAATTATCTTCACATCTCCGTCCATATCTATGCTTCTAGACGACACATCGATTTGAATCAAACACCATTCGAAAGCAAATTGGCTGGTGCCGCAATTTTTTCCTACCACGCAGCAAAGCAAGTGGCGCAGCCGCTTGTCTATATTACTATTTGAACAGGATCCATCTGTCTGTTTGTTTGTCCGCCACGCCGTGTAGTTGGTTCAATTTAGCCGGCCTACAGGGCAGACGGTATATCGTAGGGGGTTGAAAGTTGCACACCTTATAGGTGACAGAGCGGGTCAGCGCCTTTTCTAGGTTTCGGCTCGCTGGGGTGCACGGTTCGCGCGTGGGGCGCGCTGGAAGTACGCCAATGAAATTTTGATCGGTTCGTAGATCTTCATTGAGAGCCGGGGTCGACAAACTTTGTGGCCTAAATGCATGCCGATCGGTGGCGGGTGCCTCGCATTGAAGGATGGTGAAATTATTGATTTTGATAAATGGTGGCGAAAAAATGTGTTGATTGTTGCTAAATGGGTACAGTTTGTGATAAGATTGTACAAATGAACCGCGTTTGCCGCAATGCGTCACATTGGTCACAGGGCGCCATTTTTGCCGCAGCTCGCACAGTTTTGTCAAATATGGCCCGATAAGGGTACAATTTGGTGCAAGGGTGCATGCTCAAACAACAGGTACAGATGCGCCGCATTTGCCGCAATGCGCCACATTTGCCACAAAGCGCCATTTCCGACAAAATCGAGTAAGGGCAATGGAATGGCACGAATTATTCTGTGACCTGACATGACCCAGCGGTGTTAGTAGGGGTAGGGGTAGTGGTAGGAGTAGTAGTAGGGGTAGGGGTAGTGGTAGGGGTAGGAGTATGGGTAGTAGTAGTGGTAGGGGTAGGGGTAGGGGTAGGGGTAGGGGTAGGGGTAGGGGTAGGGGTAGTGGTAGGGGTAGTGGTAGGGGTAGTGGTAGGGGTAGGGGTAGTGGTAGGGTAGGGGTAGTGGTAGGGGTAGTGGTAGGGGAAGGGGTAGTGGTGGAGACAAAAGCAGAACAGTGGCCCGGGCTGATCCCAGCGGACGAGAGGTGACCTATGTGACCTGGCCTGACCCAAAGTGACCGGGGCTGACCCCTTTGACCCGTATTGACCCCGTATCACCCAAATTTCATCCAACAACGCCCTCAGAACAGTTCTTTTTTAAATTATCTTCACATTTCCGTCCATATCTAGGTATGCTTCTAGACGACACATCGACATGAATCAAACACCATTCGAAAGCAAATTGGCTGGTGCCGCAATTTTTCCTACCACGCAGCAAAGCAAGTGGCGCAGCCGCTTGTCTATATTACTATTTGAGGAGGGCGTAGTTTCTGTCTGTTACATAGGTCGCGACATGGTGCTACGTAGCGCGGGTTACAGGTCACACCGTTGCACCTACCGCGCTGAAGTTTGCGCAACTCATAGAACAAGGATGGACAACGTGCCTTTGATGGGTCTCAGCTCGATCGGATCGATAGCGAGCGCGTGGCGCGTGCCCAAAAAGTGCAAATTCGCGTCATAGACTTTACATGTATTAATCGGCTGGCAAAAACGTGCGAAAACAGCCAAATTTGCCCGACACGGGTCCGGTCCCGGTGCAATATCTCGGTAACCGTGGGCCCGACCGGTACGGGGAAAACAGCATCGTGTAGAAAATCGAACGGGCTATCGAATGGTGTGCGGTGCAGGGGTTGGCACGCGCCACGTGCACCGGGGAGGACACTTTCTTTTGAAAAATGGATGTTTTGGACGGATTTTGGAATTTATATTAATTTCAGGTGATAGTCAGACGGAATGAGTTGAAACAGCGCCTATTAGCAATAAAAATGTACCGTCTCTCATGGAGAAATTTTGAAAAGCTAATTGATCAAAAACAATGTGGAAAAAATCGCTGAATTAAATGGTATTTGTCCAAAATGTGCCACTAAATAATTACACGGATTTTGCTGCTTAACCTGATACGTTTGACAATTGAAAATGCTATCATTGGAAAGAGCATTCAATTCTCTCCAAGATCCAATCATCACGTTTGCATGACAAGCAACAGTATTCTTAAAAATATAAATGTTTCAAACCTCTGCAAAACGATTTTTAGTGAAAATTATCTACGCCTTTAATTTGTCATAAAACTACGCGCCTAAATTATAAAGCACCTTTGACAGATTCTGAAGTGGAAAGCATGCTTATCAGACTCGGGCACCTCGATGCGGTGGATATTTTTTCCACAAACCAAAACGTTTAGCTGTCAAAAAGCAATCGACCGAAATGGATAGATAACCCAACCGACACAAGAACAACCGAACACCCGCCGATCGAAAATATCCCTTTTCGCGTTGCGGAGCACGCGGGTCACCCTAGTACAATCAGCTATATGCAAACAGTGCAGTGGACCAGGTCTGTCGAATTGACGACAAAAAGCGAAGATCCCCATGAAATAGGGATGCGATGATGCCATTGCGAGATTGTCCGATACGAGACATGAAGCCGAAAACAGCTTTCCGGTACATAGCCCAGAAGTTATCAATGCGCTCATTCACATACATAGATGAGGCACTACTAAAGCGGTCATAACCAAAGAACATTCTAGCAGCGTTATTGAAACAAACTATGAATTTACGCAGAACAGCAGCACGATGCGAATGCCATAGATGAACACCAGAAACATTCGAGCAATACATGGAATACAAATACTTCTTCACTTGATATGTACAGAGAGAGAACTTTCTGATCAGCGAATTGGCTCGACAACACAGAAGGCGATACTGGTGCTGCACCTCCAGATCATCAGATTTTGTTGGGACATTGCTCACTTCAAAGCCAAGATATTTATACCTATACACATAAGTAAGCACAGTACCATTCAAGACTATATCTGGTAAAGACATATTTTTTAACAAATTGGGCAGAATAGCCATGCATACCGTCTTTTTAACATTGAAAACAATATCATGTGCATCGGCATATCTAGCACAAATGTCAAGCAATTTTTGCAGTCCTTGAGGCGTTGGCGATAGCAGTACCATGTCATCTGCATAACAAAGGTGATTAACACTGCCCAAATAATGACAACCAGCACCACTACTGTCTAATTTTTTAGACAGCTCATCAATGTACACGTTGAAAAGATATGGGGATAAGATACCACCTTGCCTGACGCCATTGGACACATGAAAGCCTTCCGACAAACAGGTGCCCCACATCACACGAAATGTTTGCGAACCATACCACGAAGCCAATAGTTGTACAATAGTGGCATCAACACCTCGACGCAAGAGTTTATCAAACAAGGTCCAATGGTTAACCCGGTCAAAAGCCTTTCGAGCATCAAGAAAACAAACAAAAACAGGACTACTGTTTCGAAGATAATGATCAACAATTTCTTTGAAAGCAAAAACAGCCATATCAGTGGAGTGTCCATCCTTAAAACCGAACTGATGGTCACTCGTAACCAAACCAAGCCTGCACCGCTTCAGAATCATTTTTTCTAGGATTTTAGAACACACTGTAGCTAAGGCAATCGGTCTATAGTTGTCTTTGTCAGTTATGTCACCTGTTTTATCCTTAACAATAGGGCACAGAACGACATTGGTCAAAGATTGAGGCAAGCAATTGTGCCTCATCATCATGGAAAAACAGAGCGAGAGGTGAGTGGCACATGAGATTCCAGCAGTTCTAAAGTGCTCAGCATACAGCTCATCACAGCCAGGTGAGCGACCAACACCTAACTCATTAATAGCTCCCAGCACTTCTTGCACCGTAAAAGGATCTATTGCTGGATTGTCAGCACGCAGCCGTTCCAAAACATCCTCCTTGGCATCATCAGCACGAACACTGTTCAGAATATCAGAAAAGTGATTCTTCCACATCGCAGCAATGTCTACATCACCATTTACACCTGCCACAGTCTGCGCAACTGGTGGGCTACTGTTGAGTTTTTGAACTTCCTTCCAAAACTGCTTCAAGTTACATGGGTTATTAGCAAATTTGTCTGCCAACACCTTGGCTCTAAGTGCTTTTTCATTTTTTAAGCAGAAACGAAGAGCATATTTGAACTGGGATCTGGCTAGTCGCAACTGTGAGTATATATAACCATCGCGAGGCTTCCCAACCATTGCCCAGAGAGAATACACATCTCCATAGAGCACATGCTTCTCATTCACATGCTCAGTCCAACCTGGGACAGCTCTGTGGAAATGATCACGTTTCTTGGAGGCAATATGTAAATATGGTCGGTGACATCAAACACAGTCGTCAAAAGTCATCGTAAGTCTCCGGAGATGGTGTACGCTGTACCGGCCTAAACGTGAACGGTTTTCGTCCGACATAGTCAAGGCACTTGGGGGTCGACCGACACACATAAGGAAATCTGCACGGGAAGGAATACGAAGGGCAGAGCGAGGGAAAAACATTCGTGCCGATAACAGGAAATGTGTTGGCTCCCATTGCAATTAAATCACACGTAGTAATCTAATTATGCCCACATGCATTGCTGCAGCGCCGGTGAATGGAGCTCGCGTGACGGGCAAAGTTGCATTTCCAAGCTATCAGTGGTCGGAGTTGCACAGCGACAGTTCCTACATAACTATTTAAAGCCAGCCAGATCAGCAGTATGTCGTGCAGTGGCGCGTTCCTGGGCGATTATTCACCGGAGACGTTCGATAAAGCTGTCTCTAAAGCGAATATCCTGCATCGTGTCCTTGCTCGGCGGGTATGCCCCTCTATTCGCGGAACTGCCACAATGTGCGGGTACGTGCCGCCGCCTCGGGCGTCCTGACAATAGCCCCCCTCTCCCCCCCTCCCCGCGCCCTCGCACGCGGCACGTGCGGACCGCTAGCGCGCGTCAGTCGGTCCAGCGGCGTGTCCGTCAGTATCAACAGGCCGGCCGCCCGCGGACCCCGCTGGCCGCTACCATATCGGGAGCCGACTGCCACCACTGCACGCTGTGAGCCCGTTTAGTGCACGCTCACACACCGATCCGCGGCCGTGGGGCGCCGGTCTGGCCCGTATCTATCACGGTGAATAATCAGTCGGGAGCTCACGGTGCTATCGGCGGCCGACAGACAGGCGGACAGACACCCGCGGTCCGGCAGCCGACTCCTGCGGCCGCTGTCACTCACATGAACACAGGCGCTGAGGCGGCCCAGTCGGGAAGAGGTGATGAGTACGTGCCGCTCGTGCAGCAGCGCCGCAAACAGCTCCAGCTTGGTGTTGTTGTCCAGCACTGCGTAGTACTCGGTTAGGTTGCGCTGAAAAAAATGACCCACGTCAGAACTGAGATGGCGGACGGCGGTCCGGCGGCGGCGAGGGGGGGGGGGGGAAGACATCGCTGGACCATATCACACCACACAGTGGAGAGTACCGCGGGTACGACGGGCGGAACCCTGCCGTCGGACACAACACCAGCCAGTACCCACAGCGCACGCAGCGCTGTCAAACTCATCACACTGATATCCCTACACCGACATCGTTCTGCGCTGCACTTCATGCACAACATTCTAGCAGCCGCAATTGTACGCGCAAAACCCGCCGGCCGCACCCATAACTATGTAGACCAAAACTGCCTTCGAGCCCTCAATAGTCAATATCCATTGCTAACTATTGACTACCCGATCTGTGTACGCTTACAGGCTACAGCCGTCCCATCCACCCGACCTTCGTTCTCCCCCCCCCCCCCCCCGACCTCCCCCAGTCGGTCACTCACGTCCACCAGTAGGGCAGGCCGCCGGCGACGGTCGGGACACTCGACAGCAAAGTCCTGCGACAGACCGTGACCGGGCGGGGTCAGAAGGGGTCACACCGGTCCAGGGTCAAACCAGAGGTCACACAAGGCAGAGGTGGGGGTCTGACATAGTCACGGCTCCTCCCGTTATGGTAGAGGCTACGTAAGAAAGCGAACACAGCGCCGGTTTAAGATCGTTTGGAGATGAAATAAAAGTCAGCGAGCCGTCTGTCTCATATATCCGTTATCGGTAGACGATTCAAGCCAGTGTAAAAGAATTGAAACCCTTATCTAATGCTAGGGGCCCAGAGCGGCCTGTACGACCCGGCACCTCTGTCCGGTATGGTTCGTGGTGGGGATACAGCCCGCGGTCCGGTACGGTCCGCGGTGAGGATACAGACCGCGGTCCGGTCCGGTCCGCGGTGAAGATACAGCCCGCGGTCCGGTCCGGTCCGCGGTGAGGATACAGCCCGCGGTCCGGTACGGTCCGTCATAAGGCACGGGTACCGGTGGAGACTAGGGACGGGGGGGGGGGGGGATCGGGCGCCGGTTGTCTGGGCGCGGTACTTCACTCCGGGAGAGCTCAACAACCCTCCGGCGCGGGGTGACGCCATGCGTCCCATCGGCGTCCGAGCGCTGTGCTATGAACAGTGAGCACCCCTCGCCTATCGCGTGAAGCACGTCTGATACGGAGCACAACACTTGACTAGGAGACCCCGGCCCACCCACGCGCGCGAAAAAAAAACATACGGGCTGTGGCAATAGTTGGCCTGCTGACTCTCGAGCGTCGAAACATTTCAGACATGTTGATAGGTAACTGGGAGGTTATTGCCGCCATTAAAAGGGAGTTCGGTTCGAACAGCCGAGCAGGTGGATGCAGTCTTGGTTATGCAGTGAGCTCAGCGTCTTGCAAAAGGTTATTTGTGTCGCGAGGCAAACTAATCTAGAGCATGCTGATTTCAAAAGTAATTATACAACTTGACGGTGACACCGTCCAGTTGGCATATATACTCGTATATAAATAAATACAGATACATCATGCTATAGATATGTCCGTGCCCTACCCGGCCGGCGGCCACTGCGGCAGCTCAGCCCTATCTGGCGCCGTTCGTCTCCCCTGCCTCAGTGACGACAGACGCGTCACACACGCACAGCGGGGGGACGGGGACGGGTCTGTCACTCCGATCGTCCGCTACGGACGGCGGCCGGTCCACCTCCACAGCAGGAAAACGGGCCGCTACAGCGGACCGGCGTGACTGACGGCCTTCCTGCTCAGGAACTCAGCGGTCCACGGCTACAGTGAGGGCGGCACAGTCAGGGCCACTACCCAGTCACCAATGTGCTGAGTCGGGTGTTTCAGGCAGCTCCAAATGAACGCAGGAATGAACGAATTCAATTCACATTTCGATGGCACAGCCCGCCGCGAGCTCCACGCATTTGCTGCAGCCCGTTGTGTCCGAATTCAGTTACAGTCCATCAGGGTTCCGGTGTGTCCCGAGCGACTCTCTGCCGAGAAGTGGGTCACATCCGGTACCCCAACCGCCCCGTCCGCTGCCGGCCCCGCCAGACTTCCCCGGGCGAGAGGGCGAGATAAGCCGAAACTCCCACAAAGTACATGCCAGTGATGAGCCATGTGATGATCTCAGAGAACGCCCTCATTTTAAACTGGGAGATACAAATCGAGATGTGACTATATGTCCCCAGCCCGTACCCCAGGGACTGACCCGTGTCCGCAGCCCACCCAGTACCCAAGGGACTGACCCGTGTCCCCAGTCCGTACCCCAGTGACTGACCCGAGTCCCCATCCCACCCCGTAGATCCGTCCACTAACCGTGTCCCCAGCCCGTACCCAGGGACTGACCCTTGTCCCCATCCTATCCCGTAGGTCCGTCCCCTAACCGTGTCCCCAGCCCGTACCCCGAGGACTGACCCTTGTCCCCATCCTACCCCGCAGGTCCGTCCGATGTCACTGACCGTGCCGTCGGGCAGCGGGAACCTCAGCGTCTCGCCGCCGGCCGGCACCGGCGTCCTGTAGACGACGTTCAGACAGCGGCGCAGCTGGACCTCCCCGCCGTCGGACAGCACCTCGTGCAGCTTGTCTAGCAGCCTGCCGCGCACCGGTCAGACGGGTGACACCCAGCAGCCAGTCACAGCTCACCGCTCACGGCATCGTCAGCAGTCCCAATGACAGTAACATTGTGACATCGGGAACAGTAGCAGTAACGTAACCAGAACATCGAACATAGTGAGCAGATTAATGATCACAGTGCAAAGCCGCACAAGACGCTGTCAGACAGGTGCTTCCCAGGATTACAGAAAAGGTAATACCCTCGGGTATATGATCTCAGTGGAAGTAATGGGAATACCTGTAGTCATGGCTAACTGCATACGTCACCAGCCAGTCACCCAGACACACAGTCATACCAACGGCAACAGATACCCGCTCGGCTCGGGCTATCGTGATGATGACTCTATGTGCTACGCTGAGAGGCCAGGAATGCATCGGTAACCGACATACACAGATATCGTGTGTCAACAGCTGACACCATGCCAGCTACTGGTGCAAAATGAGATAGCAGCACCAACATATTAAAGCAGTCAGATGCCGACTGGATGCGTAACTAAAGCCGAGCAGCCTGCAGCCCCGGCGACAAGTACACTCACCAGATCGACAAACATTGTAACCCAACTAACAAACTCGCTCTACTCAACCACCGAACAGACAGAAAAGGTAATACCCTCACTCGGCTCCCGCCCTACTGATACATTCACCCAAACGACAAGCATACTCTTCCACAAAACAAACACTGAGCCCTAATATACAGCCTTGCACTGAGCCGTCCACATGACAGTGACCGAGTACCATATAAGGATACTCCCTGAACAACACTCTGCGCGAGGAGGGACAAATGTACATGAAGTATTGTCAGGGTCAGGGAGCAGAGCACGACTTACTTGTACATGAGATCGTGCCAGGGCAGTGCACTGAGGAGCACCAGAGTCGAACTTTCCGTCGGAGAGCGTCGGCAGAACCCAAACAGCCACTTGTCCTCGCGCCGCAGCACAAACGAAAAGTGCTCCACGGCCGTGCTGACCGCACAGACAGACATACATACGTAGTGGTAACGGCCATCGACGAGCTATTGTGCTGGCTGGGGACGGGACAGAGCAGTTCTTACACCCACATTAGATGACATGCGTAACAACATTGTAGGAAGGAGTATGTATATTGTAAAGCTTATCGGTGGGCTGCCTCGTGTGTACCCCACTAAACAGGTGGATTAGATGCTCATGCTCACCATAGTAGATGCTCACCATAGTACCGGGTGATCATTTTTGAATGATACAAAAACATTTGTTAATACCAGCCATGTGTAAATACAGTTAAGCTGGATAGTTAAACCAAACACACCCATCGAACACGTACGGTGGGACATTTTATCTGGAACACACAGTCAGTCATTAATGTCAATAGCCACCTTAGAGGAGGTGCCCAAAGTATGCTCCCTCGCGGACCGCCGACCAGCTGAGCTCCGCTCGATGCCGGGTTTGTCTGACCATTTTCTGATTATCGCCGTCCCATGCTCCGGGTAAAGTCTCCTTCTACCACTATTAGATGTGCAATTGTCTTCGGCTCACATCTGACCACACCTGTCATTAGGTGAGGCCAGACACTCAAGTACAGTCACGAGAAGTCCGGGCTGTAAGACGGGCGGTCGTGCTCGCTTATTCGCAAGCTGCAGGCTTGCCAGCTTTGGGACACGGGAACTCAATGACAGGAGCGGATGTTTATTTGTTTATTTGTTTATTTCTCCAAAAACATGTGTGGAGAAGCACACTCTTGTTGAAAAGAGTGTCGGAGACGCGTGAATTAGTCATACAAAGCCGGCCAAACGACAGGTTACAGCATTCTCTAGAAGGCCGTACCGTCCCCGGGTCCGCCAAACCAGTGCACTCGAACGCACTTCCATCAACAATGTCCACTTCGGAATTTTTGTTATTCTTAGTGTCTCCGTGCACTCCAAGATCCTTTGCAGGTTCCAGGAAGCCCGTATAACCGTGCTATTGCCTTTGCACATGCGCCATGAACTAAAATTTGTTGTGTTGCAAAGCCATCCAGCTGAGATATTGCATCGTTACACTAAGATGTCCAAAAAGGGTATGCTATAAAACGGATGATATCTACTGTACCTTAGGACGGACTTGGACAGTGCTGGAAATGAGGCCGCTTTCTGGTCCCGGCGTTTTATTCTCCGGGCGGGTTAATCCCGTCCAGCGTTTAGCTTTTCGGAACCCACTCCGGGTCGCGGTTGTTTTCGCCGCTCGTCCCAGTCGAGATGCAAAATTAATAGTCACACGAAACATATTTAGGGCCAGCCAAACCAGCCTAGTCTGGAGTTACTGTTAAATGTATGCATATAGATGAAAGAAAAAGGTTTTGTAGACTCGATTAATTTCGAATTCGTATATTCAAAGGCCCCAAATAAACTTCGTGTGACTATCAACATGGCATCTCGAATGGGCTGAGCGGCGAAAACAACCGCGGCTCTGAGAGGGTCCCGAAAGGCTAAGCGCTGGACGGGGCTAACCCACCCGGAGAATAAAAAGCCGGGACCAGAAAGCGGCCTCATTTCCAGCACTGGACTTGGACAATGTTGATAAAAAACAAAATGTCCAAATGTCCCTCATGTAAACCAGCACGTGAAATCAAAATATCTTGTCCTATCTTTGCACGTGGCGACTTTCTTTTTGTATCATTCAAAAATGATCACCCGGTAAATAGGAAAGAGGCATAGGGAGCGGATGCTCATAGGATGCTGCCTCTTCTCAATGTCATATGACGGTCATATCTGTTCTTGAATGCGTTGATGCTTGGACTCAGTACCACATGTTCAGGCAGTTGGTTCCACTAGTCCACGACTCTTGAGGAGAAAAATTGATTGCGTCTGTGCAGCCGATGTCTTGGCTTTTGCCAAGACAACGGCAAAACATAAACAAACAAGATATATCGGTTCCGAATTTCTCTTTAAAACACATCGCATGTTAAAACTGAGACAACCAACCAAGTTTAACGAAAGTAGTACGCAATGCGTAAAAGTGAGCTTTTCTTCAATGAACAGCTGCTGTTATTAGTACTGACCTTTCTACCACGCAAGGATAGGCGAACTTGGGCACCATATTCAGGGTGTTCCTCTCGACAAAGGTGTTGGGAAACTTGAGCCTGATGTCGTCCGCGTTCATACGATTCGCGAACGCAGGAGGCATCGGGACATCGCAGAAACAATCGAAGACGTGCTGCACATTTTCCCTGTAACAGACGAAATGTGGATGGCAAGTGGTACGGAGGTTCGCGGTTAAAAACTACCTACTTTGTTACTGCGATAATACACCTCTTTACTGTGTTTTTACGACTGAACGCCGCTCATGGAAATCATTAGCATGCTCTATCCGGCCCAACGGACGCTTCCTGATCTCATACGACCGCAGTCGCACCCTACAAGGCTTATCGTCCTGTATCAGGTAACATGCCAGGGCACACTGCACACGTTGGGACCGGACGCATAACAACCGTCTCTCGGATATGTAGGGTCATGACCTCTCGACGACGTGGTCAACTTGAGCGGTGGTGTCATAGCTCATGTTCATACATTATGGCAGGTCCAAACGGCTCCCTGAAGGCCGGCGGAACGGCGTTACCGCCCAACTCCGTGATATAGGTACCTACTACCTACCATGCCGCACATCCACAAGGCACACGCTGAGGAAACTGAGGCATCGAACACCAGCTTCAGAGCACGGTCTCAGAACATGTCACGGTCGTTCAACGTTCGACCGGCGTTCGACCATGGTCGTTCGACCATGGTCGTTCGACCGAGGTCCGGTCCGACACGAAGTGCACGTATTCGACCGGCGGCTCTGCAGGCTCCCTCCCCGGCATACCTGCGAGCGTCGCGCCGGAAGACTCGTCTCCTAGATAATCCCACTAGGCTCTAACGTAACTCCTATGGCTCGCACAGAAGAAGCTGTGTGGTTCTCACAATATGTGATTCTCCGGAATAGGTGGACATTGGACATCTGTTGACCTGACTGACTGATTGACCTGACTGGACTCTGACCTGACTGAACTCTAACCCATTCTGACCAGATTCTGATCTGAACTGACCAGTGACCAGACTCTGACCTGACTGGATGCTAACATTACCAGACTCTGACATGAGGCCATTATTGTAAAATAAAAACGAGCCCTGGGCTGCAAATAAAAATCGAGCCAAATAAAACAGCTTCTCGATATTATTAAACAACATGCATGGTTAATGGAAATGCACCCTCCAGCTCCTTTTTTATTAGAATCAGGAATAAAATTTGTTGGCCCTATGTCCTGATCAGACACTGGGATGGCTGCAAAATGTAGGCATTGCACATGAGAAGACTGACTCTGGCACACTTATCCTGCATTAGACATCAGTCATCAATGACTTGCAGTTCAGTCACAGTGGGTCTCACCATTTTCCATTCGTTTTCTTCTGAAAAAAAAAACCTGACCTACTGTCAAACTGGCACAGTGACAAGAACCATTTTGCAGCAGTTTCCAGCTCTGCATCCACTTTTTCTACCAATGAAGTCAGCTATACACTGGCCAAGCCGTCAAGGCAGCAACAGCACATATCCTAGGCAGTTAAGTTTGATGGGCCAGATGAGAGCATACATGGATTTTACTGCTGCATTAAATCGAGTTAGGTACTTAATCACAAACCATGCAAAATGGCACAATCATTGTCATCCACGCTTCAGTAACGCAACACACCTCTACTCTGTCCCAAAATTTGTAGATGTGGGTGGGAAACGACATCCAAATGAAAATCATTTACCACTCTCACCTCCAGTTGTCAAGCCCAATTTTACACTCCCAATTCCATCGAGAAGGAGCAATTGCGTGAATGGTTGTTTTGCATCTGTCACAATTGTAGATAGATTAATGTTTTTGATCATTTTCCCACTCTTTTTGGGCCTTACCTGACCGACAATTTTTCACTCTCATCCTTTTTTTGGTCAGCAATTTTCCCCTCTGACACCCAAGCAAAAATATGATTTTGGGACACTGCTACTCTGAGACATACACTAGCCAGTGTTTTGTAAGTAACTTAGCCGCTCATTCAGACGGGTCCTATTAGCACGGGATTTCCTTGCCAAGGAATTCCTTACAAAAATGGACATTTGGGCAGGCCCATTTCGCGAGAGCCAGCAAGATTCCTAGCATTTAGCAATCCCCAAACATGGCTGTTTTCATGGGCAATTCTTCAGATTGGAAATTCCACATGAAAAATGGTCTGTCCAAATGCAGGCTATGGTTAGGATGTGGGTCGATCCACGCATACTGATGCACAATTATGCTGACATTTGCCGTTCCAGTTCAGCTTACCTTAGTAAAGACATCTTACTCTTGCTGCGTTCCTGAAATCTTGATTCTGATTCTGTTGTTCAAACCAGCGAGCATTTCCTCATTTCCAGCATGTAATAAGGTGCACTAAGGCCGCAACCTCCAAATTGGTTGTGGCAAACACAAAAGAGGTAGCTCCATATTGATGGTCACAGTGGCACGTAGTTAATTGAATTGAGGCTTTAACTATGTACTTAATTTTAAAGGTTTTGGCCTAAGACGCGGATAATTGCAAGTCCAATAAAAATGTCCGCGGCTCCGCCCCACCCCCTTCACGAGCGACAACACACGACCACAACCCACGACCACAACTGAGAAACTCCACTCGTTTGTTTATTTTTATGCTTCCAAATTCCCAGGCCTTGGCGAGCTCTAGAATTTTCCGCCAAGTTTGTATTTTTTCGCCAAGCAGCGCAAAAATAAAATGATTTTTTTTTCTGAGCGACGATTTTTCGCAAATAAAAAAATGATTTCATATTTCCAAACATTATTTTATTACAATTGCGAGACCTCTATTATTAAAAACAGCTCGAACTGCTCAATTCAATTATAAGTATTTTTTAAAACAAACGTTGGCTAGAAAATGTAAGCCAAGGTCTCTAGCCCATATCTAGCCGATTTGGTATCTGAACGGCGCTACATTTACCGCGCATTTGATACGAATAATGTGTTCAATATTTCTCAATAGTAGGCGTTGATCAGTTACCATGGCATTGGCAACACATGGCTCTTACTCCTTCTCCTCTTCGTCTCTTTCCCCTGCTCCGGGCTGGGCAGGCAACTTTATCCCATGCGGGCGGCTGTCATTGGAGCGCACTGCGCACCACAGCTCCTAAGGGAGCTGTAGCCAAGGCTATATAACCTGTAGCACAAGGCTGTAGCACACTGAGTGTAGCAAGGCTGAGTGCTTGGGGGGCTGGTCGGCCTGTCCAATTGGACGGTCCCGGCGACTCTCTAGGGTGCCCGCCCAGACTAATGTCTTCCCCCTCCTATTCCTATCATCATTCCAGGCCTGAACTGGTCTCGTCTGACCGAAAGGGCCCAACCCAACAAAACAGACAAAGCCTCAACCCCCTAGGCTCCGGGCTGGATGGGCACCGAGAAGCTCTCATAAGAGGGCGCCCGTAGCCGGGTCGGGTGCAGTGAGTATCAGCGGGCTGGGTGACTAGTATCTAATTGGGTGGGCATGTCAGACTGCCCTGCTGGTAGACAGACGTTCGACGAACCCGCTACCGCAGCAGATTCGCAAATATCAGTCTTAGATTGACGGACATGCGCTAGTAACTGATATTCGGGACGGACACCGTTCCGTGCTTCTATCCTCAGGATACTGAAATCCTTCTCCTCCACGCCGCAAACCCCCTCCGGGCTGGACAGGCAACTTTATCTCATGCGGGCTGCTCCCTTGGAGCGGCACCGCTGCTCCCGAGGGAGCGCACCCCGTAGCCGGGTGCAGTGAGTGCCTTGGGGCTGGGTGGCCTATCCTCTGGACGGGCTCAGCCCCGGCGACTCACTAGGGTGCCTGCCCAGACCAATGTCTCCCCCTATATCCTATCATCCTCCCGGCTCTGAAATGGTCTCAATGGACCGAAATGGCCTAACCCAACAAACAAAAAACAAAAATCGGGACGGAAGGGGCCTTCCCTATAGCTCAATGGCGCAAAACTTGGTACAGCTCACAATATAGCTCGATGCTCAACGCTCATATCGTGTCCAACTATGGCGCATAAAGAAGTGCACAAATTTCTCGAGCTCAACCCTGATTATATTATATAGCATTTATCACAAACATACAAATACACTTCATCATGAATATTCATTCACTATGCACGCATAAAGATGCATCAGAAATAATATAAGTCTATGGCAAACTGTTTGATGAGATATGTGCTACATTGGCAAGCTGACCGCTTTCTCTTAATGAACAACATGGCACTTTCGGGATCAACACCGACCTTCACTCGTCTCCAACTCTGCTTGCCAACGTAACTCAACGCCACCAACCGCGGCTCTGCGCGTTAACAAACAACTGGGCTGAGTGGTCACATCCGGCGGCGCCTCACCAGCTCAGCTCTACCACAGCCTCATACACGCGTCAACGATGCACCGGCCGGCGGCGCCGCGCCCGGCCCGACCGGCAGCGCAGCTATCACATGGGTCTGCCCGTGCCGCCGTGGCCGCCGTCACACCACCGTGTCGTGGCTCGAGTGCAGGCTGTAGCCGTTGTGTTTGAGCTTTCCGTTGAGAGGGATGCTCGGCTCAAGCCTGTGCCGGCTGAAGAAGCGTCGGAACCAGTCTTTGATGCAGTCCCAGGCGGGCGGCGCGTCTGCCAGCGGCGGCGCCGCCACCTCGGCCAGCTCGTCGGCCCGCTCGGGGCCCCGCTCCTGCTCTCCGTGGTCGTGCTCCTCCGGCTCCGGCGGCGGGCCGAGCTCGGCCGGCTCCGGCTCCGGCCGGCCGTCCTCGTCCTCCGACACACGCTCGGCGCCGGCCGGCTCCAGCTGCTCCTCCAGCCGCGACCGCAGCAGGCGACAGCTCAGCATGGGCTCGGCGCTCTCGCCGCCGCCGGCGCCCGTCTCCTGTTCGCGCGCCAGCAGCTCGCGACAGTCGGCCACCGAGCGCGAGTCGCGCCGGCGCGCCACCGGCCGCGCCGGCAGCCGCAGCGCGCGTGGAAAGTTGTCCAGGCTGCGCGACTCGCGGACGGCCGGCAGTGAGGCGGGCCGCTGGCAGAGGCGCGGCACGGCCAGCCGGCGGCGCGGCGGGCTCTCGGCCCGGCTGGCCGGCCGGCTCGGCTCGCGGCTGGCCGCCGAGCCGCGCGTCCGCACGCTAGCCAGACTGAGCCGGCTGGCGGCCGCGTGCGACGGCTCGTGACGGCGCACAGTGGCCGCGCGAGAGAAGAGCGGCGCCTGCGCCGGCTGGTCGAGCGGCGGCGGCCGTTTGTGATCCGACCCAACCAGCCAGTGCGTCTCCACCAGCCCCTTGCCCTTCATGTGGACGGGACCGCGCGGCACCGTCTGGTAGCCGCCCAGCTGGGTCAGCGTGCGCTGGCACTGGTCCGAGATGTGGATGCGCAGCGGCTCGCCGGTCGACTCGATCCGGGAGGCCGTGTTGACCGTGTCTCCGAACAGGCAGTAGCGCGGCATGGTCAGACCCACCACGCCGGCCACCACCTGACCTGAGGGCGCCGCACAACAAGATCGCGTCACAGTCACGTCACACGTGTCACGAAGGTCACGAATTTTAACTCTAGAACACATCGAACCGGCGGCCACAGGAGATAAACACGCTAACGCAGCCCCAACCTCCCTAACCCCTCCCTAATCCTTTTCAACCTCATACCGCCCAGTCCCACCCCAGCCACTCCTGACCACTGAGATCTTCCTACCTGTGTGTATGCCGATACGCAGTTTGAGCTGCTCGCCAGGCCGGTGCTGGATCTTGTGCTGTCGGATGGCGTCCAGCAGACTCAGCGCCATGGAGGCGATCTCGCCCGCGTGCTGGATTCCGTTCGGCTTCGGAACGCCCGACACCTGGTGGTCGGGATGGAAACATTGGTTTAGGTGTGTCCGCTGGGGGTGCTGGTGTCTGGCGATCTTGCATTGCATCCATGGTGGCTACACTCCATTTACCTACACGCCTTCGAAGACACCGTTTTCGCCAGTAGCTGGCTAATTATCGTCATACGCGTTTTTCTTTAAGAGTTTACACAAGTGAATGTTGCTGATTCGAACTAAACGGTGTATCATCATTTGCTCCTATTGCCGGTCACTCACCACCATATACGCGTCGCCGATCGTTTCCACTTTGTAGACGTCGTAACTTCGGATGATGCGGTCAAAGACGGTGTACAGGTCGTTCAAAAGTTCCACCACCTGTAACAGGCCAAGCGAGGACCGTCAGAAGGGCCGCATCGCTCCGTCGTTTCCACCCTCAGAACAGTCAAAGCCTTCTCCTCCACGCCTCAACCCCCTGATTCGGGCTGGACGGGCAACTTTGTCCCATGCGGGTAGCTCCATCGGAACACATCTGTAGCCGGGTGCAGTGAATGCTTGGGGGGGGGGGGGGGCTGGTCGGCCTGTCGTCTGGACGGGCTCAGCCCCAGCGACTCACCAGGGCGCTCGCCCAGACCAATGTCTCCCCGGCCTAATTCCTATCATCCTTCCGGCCCTGAAATGGTTTCGTCAGACCGGACTGGCCCAACCTAACAAAGCAAACAAACATAAGGGCCATGTGCGCTGCGTGGTACGTTACAGGTCCGCCCATAAATCATATGCAGCACGCACTTCGCAGTTCGCACTTCGGTTACTGAGCGCTACGTCATCAAATTAGTGTACGTACCATTACAAGAAGCCGACTGGTTGGAGAGGTAAATAATTTTCACATGACAAATGAAAATGGTACGGTACTCGTTCAATCAAATTGAAAATATGGCATTTCAGCCAACTAAAAGGCTGCAACTGCGACTTCATTTAACCCGCGCCCTGGTGGGGGGGGGGCTATTTTTTGCCCCCCCCTCCAGACTTTTTGATATATCTCCAGAACCGCTGCGCCGATCGTCACCAAACTTTCAGTACCCTCCCGGACATCAATTTTACACATTGTGACCAAAAATTTTTCCAAAGGCTATGATAGGTTGGCCGGAAATGACGTCAGAGTGACGTCATGTTCTGCCGTTTTCGACCCAAAAAAGGGTTTCGCGGGAAGAGCTGTCAGGCCTATAGCTTTGCAAATACAGAAAAATGATAAAGACATAAAAGCTGTAGAATCAACAGGGCTACAAAACTGCTATCTCGGATTTTTGAAATTTTTGGATTTTGACCCCCAAAAATCAAAAAATAAATTTTTTGCATAAAATAATCGAAAAATCCAAAAACTTTTTTGAATTTCGCAAAAACCGGAATATATGTGATAGTGCTTACCGCCTTCCATCCACATACCAAATTTGAGATCGATACCTCTTTTTTTGGCGAAGTTATAGCGAAAAAACTGTTCAAAATTGATGACGTCAAATTTTCAAACTCAATTTTTAGCAATTCTAGACCCCGTAGCGCAAAACAAAGACCACCATTAGACTCCCCGTGACGAGCTGCATCGAATCAATACCCATTTAATGCAAAACTATCAACTTTAAAGTTTGACCTTTTTTGGCCTGACCTTGACCTGACCTTGACCTGAACTTCACCAGAAAGTGACCTAAGCCGTACCTGATAGTCTTATAACCAATACCATTGAGTTGGAAATGAAAAATTGGCCATAAAACATGCATCACACAACCTTAGTAAAGTTGGGCTCATGTGACCTGACCTGTGACCCTTGGTGACCTGACCTGTGACCTGACCTGGTATTGTCAGTGACCTCTAATAGTAATATATCTACTAGGCAACTGACGCCCTATCGCTGATTCTCGACAAAATGCGTTTTCCTCGGTGTTATAGCGCATTCCCTAGAAGACCCGTGAACGGTGAAACATTTCATCTTTGACCTGACCTGTGACGTCATCGGTGACCCCGAGGTCAATGAAATTTGGTTTTCCTCGACAAATTTGACAGGCCTTTCGAACGCCGTTTGAATTTTGCGGATCCGTCCAGTAGTTTCGGAGATACGAGGGGGGGCAAAAAATAGCCCCCCCCCCCCCACCAGGTCGCGTTATAAACAGACCCCACCAGGGCGCGGGTTAAGTCAACGATTCCCTCCTCCATTCCTCTGTCTCTCCACAGCCCCCTCCCCTCTCTCCGTCCCTCTCAGTCTCGACGGCCATCGCTGCGCCTCTGACCTGGAGCGGTTTGCTCTCGGCCGAGATCCTGGTGAAGCCGACGATGTCGCTGAAGTAGATGGTGACCGAGTCGAACGTCTCCGGCTGGACGGGGATGCCCCGTGTCAGGTCCGACGCCACCGACCTGCCGGCATCGGTCAGCTGAGGTCAACGGGCTACAAAGGTGGGTCGGAGGCCACGGGTTACCCGGCTGGACGGCGTGTGAGAGGTCAGAAGTCGCATGGCTATTCAATTCGACGTCACAGGACTGGTCATCTGGTTACATCATGCATAGTGCACTGCAGTCTACAAATAGGTCACAAGTCTGAATGAGTTTGCTTGTGAGTCCACAGGACGACCTGGACGATTGGCAGGGTAAGATGTTACTGGTTAGTGGTTAGGACAGAATTGTGTGACCTGAGTGCAGAGTGGAAAAGTGGCATGATAGAGCTGACTGTCCCCCAGGGAATAATGCGTCACAGACCTGCGTGGTCACAGACCGCGAATTGGCTGGGTGGAATCTCAGAGTTAGAACTGAAGCTTGGAGACAGAGCCACAGAGAAAATAATGTAACTCTGTCGGGAAACATAAGGCTTAGTATCGATATAAGTAGCAAGGCCTGCAGAAGAGCCCGTGGAACTGGCACTTCACTTCCGTTTAATGATAACTTTCCCATCCCAGCTCGAATAAAACAGATGATGTTACGAAACGAAAGGATTCTAAACACACAGAATGTTCTCGTCGATCAGCCGCCGGTCACATGCCGGCCACGGCGCTGGCAAGTTGTGCGACATTCTCCTGCGCCGCCGTCATGGGCCATATAGAGCACGATAAAAACGCTATCGCACTATCGGCAATGTTTTTCCAATACGACCGGCAATCGTAACGGGCATGGATGGCACTGTCATAAAATCGGCCGGACAACGTCAACAGGAGGAAAATGCGGAGAGCATATTAGCGTTCGGGGGGTGATAGGCATCGTACTGGTCTGATGACACGTGGGCAGGCGACTGAGCGGCCGCTGCCGGGGACCTGTGACGTCGGGCGGCGATACGGGTATCGGCCGTACCTTCGTCCAGCGCCCGTCAAAAAGTATATGGCGCTCATGTAGTGAGCCGAAAATAGAGGCTGCAAAGGGCATCGGGAAAGCGTTATCGTGTACCGGAAGAGACTAAAGGAGGGAAAAGATTGAGGTACGGAGTTTGAACGGAGATGGAGTGAAGAAAGAAACAGGGGGACGCGCGGCAGACAGAGTCCGCCATCGGGACCTACTCGGGCAGCATGCGGTACAGCAGCGCCTCCGTCTTCTGTTTCTCCTCGTTCAGCAACTGCGTCCGCTCTCTGACTAGATCCTCCAGGTTGTTGGCGTACTTCTCCATCTTCTCCATCATCTGGTTGACGAGGTTGGTGGAGCTGCCGGACAGTTACACACACAACGTCAGTAGCCGTGACACTTATCGTACGATCATTACTGAAAACTAATGATGATCATGTCCAACTGCAAGAAACTGTACATGGCATCCCATTTTTAACACACGTTATCGGCGCGAATAACCGATGCGACATATTCGGGCGTATATCCGTTGGGCAAGCATTCATCGTGACGACTCGACATGATCCAGCTGACATGTGCACGACAGGACGCCCTTAGCGCCGCGTCCGGCCGGATGTGCCGGTGGACGCGGCCACTAAATCTGTGGCGGGTGACAGCTCAGCGGGGTACTCACAGGCCGGCGCGCAGCGGCTGCAGCAGTTTCTTAATCTCCAGAAATCCGGGCCGGGAGGCTTCTGATTCTTGCCAGCACTGCTGCATGCAGTCGACCACCAGCTGGGGGGCACAGACATATACTGTCAGCGCCGGCCGGCACTCACACAGAGTCGCCCAGGTCGGACTCAGAGTGGAAACGGAGCAGGGGATGTTATTGGGAACGCTACCTAGCAATCGCTTTTTGGTTTCTAGCCTGACGTGGATTGGTTGTACCGTTATACAAAGTTGTAATTGTAAATCAGGCCGTAGCTGAAAAAATTACGAAAACACATTTGGCATTGCTCACTCTCAGTTATCAAGGCTCCATTCGAAGTTCGAACCACGCTTATCGGCCCAGCTCGGCCGGCGGCAGACGGCTGTATAGTGGACACTGGTCGGGCTGTAATTACTGTCCTGTGGACAGGCCGGAGCGCCCACTCACCCGCTCCGACTCTGGTGGCATGTCCGGCGGCGGGTGGAGGCAGTTGAGCGGCGGCCGGAACGGCTCCTGACCCGGCGCCGGCACCTGCTTCACCAGGCCGACGATCTCTGCCGAACGAGCACAAAGTCAGCGCGCCGAACGAGCACACAGTCACCCCGTCGAACGAGCACACAGTCGACAGCTCGGTCAGCTTAAACAGCGACAGGAGGCATCACGCGACGGTCGGTGACAAAGCGCCGAGAGTTTCAGCATGTGGTGGAAAATGTACGCATAATGAGCATGCCAAGTTCGGTTGCCTGTTGGGTGTTCTCTCAGGGCTGTTTTATACCGGTCACAACTCTCCATCCCGTATGTGGTCTCATCCCCGTTCAATCATCCCCCGCCCACTCACGTTTCGGCTCGAAGCTCGGAGGACCGTCGACTCCGCCGAACGGTCCGTCCCGGCACATTATCTCGTGCAGGATGATGCCGAACGCGTACACGTCATCAGCGCGACTGCACGGCGTCTGTGGGGCCCTCAGCTGCTCGGGACTCTTCCACAGCTGACCTGTCATACACAAACCGGCTAAACGTTAAACGGGGGACGGTCGGTGGTGGTGGGGACGTCAGACAATGCATGCATATTTGCTTAAAGGAAATAGTTCACTTTTAACATGGGGTTTTGAGCTGGAATAGCAGTTTCGTAGCTTGAGCTGAGACTAGCACAAATCAGGAGCTTTTACGGCTCAACGATCACCCTAGACGAAGATATTCCATTTCTCGTTCCGAAAAGAGTGCCTTGTAGAGGAATGCGTGCCTTGCACAGGAATGCAGCCACGTCATCGTCAGCCAATCAGCGTGCTGCTTACAGCCAATGCAGTATGCGTAGGTTTGAGCTACGCAATATGATTGGTCAATGCGTAATAAGCTTCCGCGTCAAACATTATTTTACATAGAATATAGTTCGTCCTATATTGAAATATAGAAAATAATTGTTTTTACAAAAAGGTTTTATTTTATTTCATGATTATTTTGAGCATAAAAAATCATAAATCAATAGCAAAATACTGATTTCAGGAAAGTGGACTGTTTCCTTTAATGCCTACCAAGGGAATGTATCCCGAAGTAGCTTAGATCAATTGCACTCTGTGACTGTCAAGTAACAAGAATTAGGGATAATCCCGTCTTTCCCGAAGCCCGCACGATATAAAGTCCGCACCAGTCGACACCCATAGGTCTGCTGTGACGTGTGTGGACGTCTGCTGTGACGTCGGCCACGTCGGCACAATACGCAAAGTGTGTGACGTGACAGACCGTGACGCTCATCGCAGATGATCCTCGGATGTAACGAAACAAGAGCGTCAGAGGAAAGCTACACACTCGTTAATCCGTGCGTGAGGGCATTTTACGTCAAAGGATCCGGACAGTTTGCGTCAGAGCCCATAAGCGCACACCCCGCGTCAGTGTATCCGGAGTCCGGACGGTTTCGGTCAGTGTTTGTGGATTAGTATAGGTTGGTGAATTGGGTCTTTTTTCGCCAGTGTGCGGGCTGTGTTTGCGGGCGCGACTCACTCTTGTAGTACTGGTAGTTGGACTGGCTGTCCAGGTCGGCCGCCGCGCGCAGGTCGCGCATCCCGAAGTCGGTGACTTTGAGTACCCAGCGCGAGGTGACCACACAGTTGGACGACTTGAGATTGCCGTGCACCAGCAGGGCAGAGTTGTGCAAATAAAGCATTCCCTGCAACGGCCGCAGCGGCGCCCGGCCGGACATCGAGTTAAAACAGGCGCAGCTATAAACGGCGTCACACCAGCCGCGCTGACCGGCCGTCCAAGGCCAGTCCCGTCACCACCGAGCAGGGGATTGTTTACGGCGCACCCAGCAGAAAGGCCGGGCTATTTATAGCTCAGCCAACCACCTGTCTCTGGCCCCAATAGGCATTGTCCAATTCTGAAAATGGTAACTTTCCGCGACATGACTTTCCACAGCGCTCGTTTGCACTTCGTTTCCGTTGTGCACAGTGCGATTCTTTCATGACTCTGTTTGGTATCAAATTTTTAATTTTAACATTCGGTCACGAATCCACGATCACGGCAATCGCGAAGAAACAGTACACACTGCTCACCTTCACAAGATCTCGAATAAGCTCGGCGATGAACATGTACTCCAATGTGAGCTCCCCACCCTCCAGAATGTCCTGTAACGGACGGATAGGGCATCAGACAGCGGTCCCCGGAGGCAAGGGGCGCTGGAAACTCGCCCCCTCAGGGGCTCCACGGTATCGTGGAGCGGGCAACGCCCCTGTTATAAACAACGCGACAGGCGTCGTAACTAGATTGGTCATGAAATCTCACGATTGAATACTTTGCCGTTCACGGACCATTCTTGTTCCGATCAGATGCTATCACAGAAAATCACATAACATGCAAAGAAAACTTGAAGTCGATCGACGATGACAAATTAGCCGAAATATATAGGTATAGAAAAAAAAAACAGCTACACACCGGCTACGTAGAGGACGTTCCATGACCGATTTTTGTTGTAGCGTGGGCGTGTCTGGGGGAGGGGTGTGTGTGTGTGGGGGGGGGGGGGTACCACTGACCGGCAGGCTGCCGCGGGTATGTGTGTGCGGGAGGGAGGGGCAGCGGGAGGGAGGGTATCACTGACCGGCAGGCTGCCGCGGGTATGTGTGTGTGTGTGGGGGGGGTATCACTGACCGGCAGGCTGCCGCGGGTATGTGTGTGTGTGTGGGGGGGGGGGGAGGTATCACTGACCGGCAGGCTGCCGCGGGTATGTGTGTGTGTGTGTGGGGGGGGGAGGTATCACTGACCGGCAGGCTGCCGCGGGTATGTGTGTGTGTGGGGGGGGAGGTATCACTGACCGGCAGGCTGCCGCGGGTATGTGTGTGTGGGGGGGGGGGGACAGCGGGGGGATAGCACTGACCGGCAGGCTGCCGCGGGTATGTGTGTGTGGGGGGGGTATCACTGACCGGCAGGCTGCCGCGGGTATGTGTGTGTGTGGGGGGGGGGGATATCACTGACCGGCAGGCTGCCGCGGGTATGTGTGTGTGTGTGGGGGGGGAGGTATCACTGACCGGCAGGCTGCCGCGGGTATGTGTGCGTGTGGGGGAGGGGGCGGGAGGGAGGGTATCACTGACCGGCAGGCTGCCGCGGGTGCAGTACTCTGTGACGATCCGGATACAGGTCGGCTCCACCACGGCACCCAGGAACGGGTTCACGTTCTGGTGCCGCAGCTCCCACATCGTGCTGGCGGAGGGGCGGACACAAGTCAACGACGGAGGCCTGGTATAGTTCGAGAGCACCCAGCGTCACTCGAGGGCGCCCTGCGTCACTGGAGGGCGCCCTGCGTCACTGGAGGGCGCCCAGCGTCACTGGAGGGCGCCCAGCGTCACTGGTGGGCGCCCGGTGCCACCGCCGGACACAAGTCACCGAAGGACGCCCGAAACAGTGCTTGTTTTGGTGGCGATTATGCATCGGGTATCAGCTGCTGCATCCGGTTTATGGTGCCAGCTTCAGAAAATGTGTGTTCAATGCCCGCTCAATGTCTGACGTTTTCGTCGACTGACCGTCCAAAGATATCCAGGCCAGCCATTTGTCCGAAGTTATCCGGAAACTATGCAATTATTTACACTCAACACTGCCATTTAATTTCCATTAAGTGCACTATAACCAGCCCAAAAATGTTAATCACATCGAAAGCTGAGCTTTCTATTCGCCAATCAATGACATACCCGATTACTTTACAAAAATGTTGAGGTGTAGCAAGTGACTGTCCAATGTAATCCAAAGCCTGCTGCCTTTGTCCAACCCAATTCCGAATTGGACATTGGACAAGATCGGAATTCCGAAGGTCAAGTTCCGACTGGCAACACTAATCCGATTGAGTGGGTTCACGGAACAGTCTGAAGTGAGCCATGCAACGTCATGAAGTAAAAACAGTATTCTTGGTACTTGAAATTGTCATGGTTGTTGCTATTAATAGCGATTGCTGACATTTTATACCATCCAGTCGTATATTGAGAAAGGCAGTACAAAAACAGCGACGTATGATAAAAACTCATCAGATGGGAGCGTATTTCAGTGATGGCCACCCGACCACGAGAACATGACATCACCACCGTCAACCGCAGCAGCTACTGGTGTGGGAGAGTTCCTTCTGCCTTAACGTTATATAACCATGCTATCGAAGGCAGTGAACTAACCTTTTTTCTAACGTCAGTAATTTAAGAAGCTTTTTGTGTGATATCAACCCGATGTCGAGGGCTTTCCGCGGCACAAACCATTTCAGCATGGGTACCTTGGATAAATTGGTCGGGAGCCGAAAACATGCGGTGTTTAAAAGAGTCGTTTTAAATACCACCATCTATATCCATAAAACTCAATTTGTCCCTAAAGAGGCGTAGCCAGACGTCATTTTCCTATACTTCCAGTCATGCCACGGTAGTGTCACATCAGCCATACCTGACGGGCAGCCCGGTCCCCCAACATGGCCCGTCGATCGACAGCCGGCGAGTGAGCCACCGCCGTCCACTCACCGCATCTCTTTCATCATGCGGCGCGAGATGTCCGCCTTGCGGCTGAAGTTGAGCGTCTGCACGCGCACAGTATTGTTGTCGTAGCGCCCCGTCATGGTAAAGATCTGGCCAAAACACTTGGACTCGAACGACGCTATACTGGTGATGCTTTGCTGAAATCGCAAACGATTATGTGATGACATAAAAGGCCAAAGGGGCTACAAATTTGCACGACATAGGGCAACTACTATAAAGGCATAATGCTAGACGAACAGGCATCTGCTTAGGTACTTGTCAGTACTAAAGAATGCATCGAATTAACAAAACAGTATGTAAAAGTGCATGAAATTCTCTTATTTAATATTTGAGGCACGGACTTTGCTACACAAACATGAAGTAGTGACCCCAAATAAGCGGCCGAGCAGTAATGACCCTGGTTCCCTCTGCACACTCTCCTCGTGCACGGACCTTGCTGTCACTGAGCGGCGGCGGCCCGGTGTCGAGCGCCTCCGGGGCGATTTTCCAGAGCAGGCCGAGGATCTCCTGCTCCTCCTTCCACATCCTGTACACGTACAGCATGACCAGGATGGCGGCCAGCAGCACCGAGCCCAGCACCGTGGCCACTGTCTGGCGAGGCAGCGGCACGCCGTCACCAGGGGCGGGTCAGTGAGCCAACACAGCGGAACTCACAGAGCGGCACGGAACCAGGCCGCTACGACATAACTAGTGGCAGTGCACTGACTACCCAGTACCCACTGACGGAGTACTTAACACAACTTCAAGACATTAGCCGAGATAAAATAAGGATTTAATAAATAACTCGATATTCTCTGGTTGTCAAGAACGAGGTAACTACTACCGAGTGTGTGTGGGGTGGGGGCAGATAATATATGGCATAGACCACTATACAATATACATACAAAGTGGTGTATGTATAGGTGTATCTGCAGATACATGAGGAGTGCGTGCAAATGAGGGAGAGCGCTGGGGATAGAGCATGTCACGGAGGCGTGGGTCTATGTGCATATATACCCACCTGCCGGCTATCGTCCGGCGTATAGCACTTTGTGCCGTCAAAGCCGCAGTGGGGTTCGTCAATCGGCGGCAGGCCGCCCAGCCATTGGATACTCTTCCCCGTGTCGATCTTAAACTCCTGAAAATAGAGACACAGGGGCGGGTCAGGCTATCATAAACACCAGCCTGAACAGACCCGTGTCCGGCCACAAGTATGACAAGCCAAGCTGGTCGACTTGTTAGGGCTATGAGTTGGTATATCACAGACATATTCTGGACACGAACATATTAAGTCACTAGCGGGTACATTTGTCTACCACGCGGGACCATATAAACAATGTTGAACAAGACATGAAACCGGAGTTTATTTTAATGTATTTCAAATAGTGCTAGGATATCGTGACATGAGCTGCATGAAATCCTCTCAGAGATTTCCTACTCTGCGCGGCATATGATGCGATATACATATCTGTGCCTCGGGACTTGGACAGCACGAGGTAGATAGTAGATACACAGTTTGAGAAGAACCAGAGCCGTCGTTCCGTACCCAGTACGCAGAGATCAGGAGATAGTGGAACCTAGTCTCAGATGGCTGTTAACGTATGCTGAGCATGACCTGATGCCGCAAAAACAGCGCTGAATGACGATGGCGATGAGTCATTGTTGTCGACAAAAATGGCTGACTAATTGGGCTGAATAAGCACGCCGTTTTGAAAAAGGGCTGATCCTACGAGATCCTCGCGTTCTTGTCTTAAAATCCTGTAAAAAGTCTCTGAAAAGTTGACATGTTGACCGGTTCTGACCGACAATGATTGATGCCAGGTTTGGATGCAGGGCGCGCCCAGCCGGGCGCGGCAGACTAGATGACCGCTCGTGTGTGACCAACTGACGAGTGATAAATGATTATGTCATCCGAGGAGTACGTTGGTTGTAAATCACGCTCAGCCGAGCCATCCCGCGGCCCGGCTCACTGAAGGACTGTAATTTGGGACTGGAACGCAGCTGCAGAGCTAGCGCTAAATATAGCAGCGTTATCCAGTGCCATCAATGAGCCGGGAGGCCCGGGCAATGGTCATCACCGAGTGGCGGCTTATGGCCCGAGTGTCCTGCCGTCTTGACCGCCGGACGTCACAACTCAAACCAGCGGCGTATTTAGAAAATCGCGAAGGGGGGGGGGGCAAGGGTTTGGAGGGCGCCACCTCACCCAAGGAGGGCGCCATACGGTCGCGAGATAAAAAATCGCTCAGTGGGGGTGGGGGTTTGGGAGGCGTTTTTTACCATGCCACCAGTTTTTTTTTTTTTTGCGTAACCTCGTATAGGTCGTGCTGCATTGATTTTGCATCGTGTGTATTCATTATACTCCAGGTCACAAAAGGTCAAGTGTTCTTGAAATGCTGCGCCGAAGGCGCGCGAAATTTTTGAAAACAACCTTTTCCTCCGCTTTTTAGGCACGCCTTTTATACGATCACTGTTCAAAGCTCCTCTCGCTCTTTTACCAAATTTGAAGGTGTAAAAAATACCTAAGGTTTGGTCGGGCCGCTGCCACACAAACTGTACAGAAAGCTTGGCTCATGGGTGTCGATGTATAAAAGTTTATTGGCGGTGGCATATCTACGCACCAGATCACCGTATCGGATTGATACCGGAGCGCGAGATGCGTAAACATCATCCAAATTACCTCAGACCAGCCTTAATAGCCTTCTCACAGATGCATACAGTGTACCCACATAACCAGCTTCAATCACCGAAACTTCAGATGCCTGCTGTTGCGCCCGAACCTGTTGACAATATTTAATCGTAATCCATATAGATGCCATGATGCACGTAAAGTAGGATCAATCCGTTAAGACCAAAGACGTGTTTTATGCATCGTAGAGCGTAGATAGTTTTGGTAGGTATAGATACTTCATTCATTGTGCTGAATGCACGTTCATTTGTGGCAGTTTTCACAGGCAAGACATCAACTATGTGCAATAGAACGACTAAGTTGAAAAACATGCCAAAGGAGTAAATAAATGATAGGAGGGCAGCGATCAACGGATATTGCCAATAGGTAGAAGGGCTGCGATCCACAGGAGGGCACTAATAGGTAGAAGAGCCCCGATCAACATCCCGAGTTTCGACAGTAGGGCACCGATAGGTAGGAAGTTGGCGAGCAGCAGGAGGGCGCCAATGGATAGAAGGGCAGCGATCAACAGGAGGGCACCAATAGGTAGGAGGGCGCCGATCAACAATCAACAGGAGGGCGCCACCAGGTAAGAGGGTGGCGAGGAACAGGAGAGCACCAATAGGAGGGTGGCGATCAACAAGAGGTCGCCAATAGGTGGGAGGGCGGTCATCAACTGGAAGTCGCCAATGAGCGGAAGGGTGACGATTAAAATGGGGGTGGCAATGGTGAGGAGGGCGCCTTTGCTCAAGAGGATGACACGAACAGGAGGGCGTCTGTGCGGAGGGCGCTGGTCAACAGGAAGGTGCCAGTGGATAGGAGGGCGGTGATCAACAGGAGGGTGCCAGTGGTTAGGAGGGCGGCGATCTACACGAGGGCGCCAATAGGAGAAGGGCCCCGATTAACATTCAACAGGAAGGACTAGGGAACCAATAGGTAGGAGGGCGGCACTGAACAAGAGGGTGCCAAAAGGGAGAAAGGCGGCCTTCAAAATTTCACATGAGGGCTCAATAGGTAGGAGAGCGCCAATAATTATGAGGACGCCGATCAGCAGAAGGGCGGCAATGTGTAGCAGGGTGGCGACCTACAGGAGGGCGCCTTCGGGTGAGAGGGCGCTTATTTACAGGACAGCGGCTTACATAGGCGACCACCGTTACGCTTAGAGAGCTACAGCCTACAAATGTGGTTGGAGGGCGCCCGAGGGAGCCCTCCAACCGTATTTGGAGGGCGTATTTGGAATGAGCGTCCTCCGAGGGCGCCCTCCATCCGTATTTTCCCTGTAAACACATTCGCGATTGGAGGGCGCCCTCCAGTCGCGATTGTTTTTCGATTCGATTATATCACAATTGCATTTGCGATTGGAGGGCGCCTTCGGCGCCCTCCAATCGCAAAGGGCGCCTTCGGCGCCCAAGAGGGGGGGGGGGCCATTGCCCAGTGCCCCCCCCTGCCTACGCCCCTGACTCAAACCACTGAGATGAGATCCACAGCCCGCGTCTCTGAGCCATCAGCCAAAACTCTGACTCCGCTGAGTTTCGCAGCTCGCCCCACCGAGCCACAACTCTCGGACCACTGAGCTCCACCCTCCACAGCTCGGAATTCCACAGGTTAGCCTGCTGAGCTGCCGGCGCTGGCGTGCCACCGACCCGTGGCGTCTCGTGCGGAACATTTTTCATGCGACTTTCAGTGGCTGACATCGGAGGACTTAGCTGCAGATCATCTTGGATGACGTTAGGCCAAACAACCGCCCCACGAAGGCTGAGATGTTAGATTTGTCGGATAAGTGCGCGTAAAACTGCAGGCAACATGACCAAATAGCGTCTAAACTAGCTGGGTGGCCGGTGCACCGGAGTGGTAGGACAGCGCATCCAAGCCTAGGAGGGCATAGACCATGAGAGTAGAAGGGTGAAACGTAGCATCAACAGTAGCCGGATGGACCAGTGCACCGTTGTAATGACAGCTTGGTGTCACGGACAGCCCAGCACAATATACCGTGATTGTGAAGACAGCCCGCAACCCGGCCTCACCGGCAGCCCGCCGTTGTAAGGACAGCCCGCAGCCCCCCAACTCTCACCGGCAGCGTCGAGTTGGTAAGGAAGAATTGGCCGACTTGCGCCATGCAGTCGTCGCAGCTGAGCGCGAACTGGTGGCTGTTCTCGTAGCGGATGTGCAGGCCGCAGCCGGACTGCAGCGCCAGCACGGTGAAGTTGCCCTCCGAGTCGCCATTGTCGTCCATCTTGATCACCGAGCCCATCACACCTGCAGGCAGCGCGGAGAGTGGTTGGTGAAGGTGACGACCAGATGGTGTAGACAGAGAATGCGAGGTTAGAAACTAATACTGCGAGATTATGTGGGTGGTAATAAGCGAGCATCGTGTAACTAGTGGTGGTGAGAAGCAGGTAACGCGGTGATAACTCTGGCACCACGAACCCGTTAAAACACACATACGAAGATACACGCACTATTTATAGTATTTCATCGATACGCTAAGTGAATTATACATCCTTATAACCTTGGAAAAAAAAACAAACAAGAAACGTGAAAAATGTAAAACTCGCCAGCAATAGCCTCGCCATCACGGGGCTGTCGCGACCCGACCGGCCGGCGGTGGTGGTACTCACTCTGAAACGTCTGGTTGCGGATGCGCATCACAATGTCGGAGCCGTTGGTGAGGATCTGTCGGAGTGGCACTCCCGGGTTGTCGCTGATGGTGCGGTTCAGCGCGCGCGCGTACATCATCACAGAGTCGTACAGGTAGGCCGCGTACACGCCCACATGCTGAAAGGAGCGGGGCGGGGTCACACGGGGGCGCCGGGGGAGGGGGCGGGGAGGGTCACACGACAGGCACTGGGGCAGGGGAGGTGACGGATATCTATGACACGGCACACAGCTGGTCCTCAGGTTACATAATTCGAGCAGTCGCCCCATCGTCAGCTAGCGCGTTGCTCTCCAGATATAGATAGATGAATGGTTACCGGCATTAGCCACGATGACGCATATATATATATTATTTCGGCATGGTAAAACTCAAATAAGCACGAATAAATATTTTAGAGTTTTAGTTTCGTACCTTCACCTTGTTCGAAGCTCGAAGTGAGGTGGGAAATACCACGCAACGTTTCCCCGAACCGCTCGCGAAAGGCTGTATGGACTTCCTAATGTGCTTCTCAATCCCAGTTCCTTTGAGCGATAAATTCCCTAGCCTTTATCAATGCTCTACCCTCAGCACACATCCCTCCATCACCCACCCCACTACCCTGCTCACCGGTGCGTCTGGTCTCACCGCCGGCGCGTCGCCTCTCACCACCGGCGCGTCGCGTCTCACCACCAGTGCGCCACATCGCGCCGCCGGCGCGCCGCGTCCCTCACCTTTTTGAACGGCCACCAGCCGGGCGATGTGATGTCGAACGGCGGCCGCTCGTTGTAGGTGCGCACCAGCCGACTGAAGGCGTCGTGGCCGCGCGGCGGCGTGGCCATCACCACCAGCAGGCTGCGCAGCGGGCTCACGTCGCTCGCCTGGCACTCGTAGTCCGAGTAGTGTGCCAGCTCCCACATCTTGTCGGCGGCTGTCGGCCCGGGGCCACAGGGGGCGGTCAGACGGTTAGCGGCGGGCACTTGGGGGGGGGGGGGGGGAACGTCGAGGAAGGAATAGCCGCATGAGCGAGGAAATGAAAATTTGAAAAATGTATCGTTGAAAAAACAGAAGAGTATCGGGATACCATCGGCGTGGCTCATGGAAACCTATGCGGTTATTCATAAGCGATGAAATTAAACTACCACCAATAAAGAGGCTAACAGAAATCACAATATATCATATAAATTGAAAAGAGTTATCATAGGTGTTTCATCAGGCGTCGACCAGGAAGACAGCTGAAATTAATGTGCAATCAATAGAAATGTGATAGGGGAGAGTGGTGCAGGAGGCCCCCCTTAAGCTCAGTTGCTATTTTTAGACAACTGATAATATTTAAGAGCTAACGTGTGCATGCGCTGTGAGCATGCATCATTTTCCCATACATATTTGCATTCAAAATGAATCTAGGGGGTACACAAACCGTAAACTTTAACATTTTGGAAAAAGTTGCAAAAGGGCCTCTTACACTATGGGTATGGTAAGACGCCCCCCCCCCCTCGGGCGTTTAACAAGGCAAGTCGACTTGTAAAAGACGTTTTGCGAACACAGCTGCAAGGCCTTTTATTTCGAAAAGCTAAGCAAATACGGTGTTATCGAAACCAATAACACTTCCAAAGCGCTCGAACAATGCGAAAACTAGCACAACCAAACGCTGATGACCAACGAAAATTGTACCTATTACCTCTAGAAAAAGAAACAGAAAAAAAAAGAAACAAAAACAAACTCCTTGAAAAAAGAATGCCACGCCTGCCGCAGGTGCAGGCGTTTTAGCATCGGGGGCGTTTTTTATCGGGGGGCGTTTTATAATCCTCGAAGGGAGGGCCTCTTAAAAAAATGCAGTGTTTTAACGTCACAATATTTATGGTTTATGAGACATTTGCAGCGCACCAGAACATGGTCTATTCTGAAGCTAACATGTGACAATTTCGATGAGATAAGATTGCATTTGATAGCCATTGTTTTTTCAGATATATAAGGGTGATAAAGATGCATATATCTAGCAAGTAAAGGGGCAAAAACAGAAACAGGCTTACCAAAAGTCGCTGCGACGCACCTGATACCTCAGGTTTCGTGAGTTGTTGTTTCAAGAGGGCTTCTGCTTTACAAGAACATTAAAAAATAAATAACATTATTGGTTTGGTAAAAAAAGCGATGGGGCCTCTTACCGACCCTGGGCGTCTTACACGGATCTCCCCTACTTAGCTGCTGTATGTATAATGCTTGTCTAACTAGCTTCACTAGAATAAGATAAAAGCACGACAACACTATAAAATAATGAATTATGCAAAATAAACAAAAACTGTTTTCTTGGTTTGATATAGCTCGATCTGAGCTGCAAGCATCGTTTGAACGCGTCACGAGCGGTGCACACACTATTCGCCCGGGTACCCGCGCGGAACCGTTTGTTTTACCTACGCCACATGTATTTGAAGGAGTTCGACTTGGTGACGACAAAGTCCAAGTCGATGTAGATGACCATGTAGGTGCCGTCGAGGAGGTTGAACATCGACATGGTGGTCAGCATGTTCTGCAGAGACTCAGACGTGCCCAAGAAGACGTATACTGGTGGCGAGGGAACACGGGGAGGTACTGTTAGAAATCGGCACGGGACGCGGTATGTCTCAGCACGGCACGGCAGGTATAGACTGACGCAGTGCTGAGATTCTAGCACAGAGTGTGTGTATGTACGAACATAGCAGACCGAGGCCCCGCAAGGCGCCTCTGCAGCTAACGCATTATTGCAACATTTATAATGTTCTGATGATTTCACAGCAAGCATACGGCTAAACGCTTTCAGAATAGGTAGGTACTAGCTATACATACAGCCAAAATTAGCCGCCAGAAAAAACTATTCATCAGTTGCAAAAGCGACGCGAAACCTTACTTCATTGTATGGGAGCACCGACATTGCCATCGTTTTATTTCAGCACTGCCAGCAAACCGCTCAGAACACTTGGTCACTTGTGGTAATGACCAGAGCCAACTGGGGTCGGCCTGCATCCGACGTATACGCACCTCGGGTGCCATCCTTGGTCTCCTTGATGACGTTGGCGAGCATTTGCAGGTCGCAGCAGGCGCTGCGCTCCTTGCAGCACCGGTCGTAGTCGGGAATCACCACCTTGTGGTTGATGGTCATCCCCTCCGAGATGGCCAGCTGTGGGGCAGAGCGGCCGGTCAGCCGACCGGGTACGGTCCGGTCAGGTCAGGTCAGGGCGCGTCTGTGACTCATACGGTTCAGATGAGATCACTCCCGACGGACCCATCGGGCCAGCTGAGGTCACACCGGGTCAGACTGGACGGGTCGGTGCTATTTATTCAGGTCTGACTAAGTTTGGTCGGCGCGGGTCAGGTCAGATCAGTCCGCGCGTTATCGGCAACCAGGGCCTCGTTTCATAAAGCGAGTCCGTAACTTACGCCATTTTTGGGCTTGTATTGCAAGCACATGTGAAGCGATAAATTTATTTCCCCTTCTCCCTTCCGTTCTTGCTTGCAAGATAAATAAATTCAACGATTCAAACGGATTCAAACTATCGTCATCGCTTCCCATGCACTTGCAATAAAATACCAAAAACTGCCGTAAGTTACGGACTCGCTTTATGAAACGAGGACCTGGTCGGTCATCCATACTTTGTTCATGTAACTTCGATTTAACCCGTTCATTTTCACTTGGTCAAGAAAGAACAAGAATGATAAAGGGATCACACCTTACCTTTTTTAGCGAATCGGCGATTTTGCTTATCGTTGATGATTCGGTGGTGATGATGGAAAATTTATTCCATTTGTAGTGTTTCAGCAGGGCCACAGCAGATTTCGTCACCTGAAACAGAAACAAAGCAAATTAACGAAAGCATGCGATTGAAACAGGTCGCATAAGATAATTAAACCTATAGTTATTGTTATAACCGACTGCGAGATCACTATGGTCAGGTGTGATCCACAGTCATTTAGTGGAAGCGCTAAATGTGTACGGAGTTTGTGGGTATATGTGAGTGACTGATGAGAAAATTAGAGAATGCATTACTGCGTCAAAGAGAGAGAGAGAGAGAGAGAGAGAGAGAGAGAGAGAGAGAGAGAGAGAGAGAGAGAGAGAGAGAGAGAGAGAGAGAGAGAGAGAGAGAGAGAGAGAGAGAGAGAGAGAGAGAGAGAGAGAGAGAGAGGGAGGGAGAGGGGGGTCTGACACTGCAGCAAATATCCTGCCGTTCCTCCCTAGTGAAAATAAGCGAGGACCGATGCCCACCCGGCCCCGAAGGGATTATGTACCGCACCGCCTCTACCATTAGGGCCGACACAAAACTCCCGTAACAAACATTGACTATTGAACAAACGTGGAAAGATGCGTCAATGCATTCAGCTAATGCAATGGAAAGGAAATATGCCTGTACTTGTGTGCAAAAATAATGGATGATGATACAGCGAATGGGTGAATCTGTTTCTATTATTCAAATCAAGAAAGACTTTTGTTGGACGGTCAGTATTTTAGGTACCTATTGTATAGGTGTCCCTCGTTTCGGTGCAAAGCACCAATCTTACCTAAATGAATCCTAAGTGAATCTGCACCGGCACGGTTGGAAATAGCACGTTTTGCACATAAGGTTTCCGGATCCTCCTCTGCCCCCCCCCCCCTAGACCGACCGATCTAGTCTATACTTATTTGGCAACATAAACACTCAAACATGCAACTGGTGCATGCTTTCATTTCGTGACAGTGACTTCATCCGTATGACGCAAAGCCGTTAAATATAGCACCAAAATCTGCCCCGGTAAGAATTGAGAGGGCACGGTACCGTCTGAAAATAACCCCTGCCTTTGCAGCGATAAGCATCTTAACGCCCCCTTACATGGATCAAGACGTGGTTCATGGCTATTTTTAACAGGCTTTAATTCACTTTCACTCATAGACTGGCCGACTGACGAGGATAGGTGGAGAGGAACCAGACAATCGAGATAATCATAGGGGATGGACAAAGACAGGGGAAAAAACGAAAAACGGACAAGGACAGAGGAGAGAAACCGCTGAAACATGGAGAAAGAGAAAGAGAAAGAGAAAGAGAGAGAGACAGAGTGGGTGAGTGAGAGAGAGAGAGAGAGAGAGAGAGAGAGAGAGAGAGAGAGAGAGAGAGAGAGAGAGAGAGAGAGAGAGAGAGAGAGAGAGAGAGAGAGAGAGAGAGAGAGAGAGAGAGAGAGAGATGCGCTGACCGGCCTGTGACTTGTTGTGACAGGCTGGCCTTGCTAGTCGACATTTCTGCCTGTAAACCCACCGTGGCAGACCGAGTCATGGCCCAGCCTGTGCTCCTCACACCGCAGGGCCTGGCCAAGATTACTTTACTGAGGGCCCGGCCGTCTGAGCCTGAAGAACACTCCCATTCGAATCAAGTGACACTGGTGTCAGGCTGACAAATGACAGTCGATGAATTAGTGCAGCTGAGCGGACTTCGAACCCGAGCACACACACTGAGCATCGCGTGACCCCGGCAGTGACCAAGTGATAATTAGCGAAGGCGGATTGACAGCACACGGTCCTCCCTGAGCGGCTGGTCAGCGGCTAATCGATTACCAGAAACACACCGATAATTGCTAAATGTGGACGCTGAGTAAGGGTTCTGGAAGCGCATCAGTTATTCATAATTAGGCAAGAGCATGTGCATAAGGCTATAAATAACTTCACATACACAACGAACTGCTCTGATGTTCATTCGGGTATAGAAGTTGGGATGTGCTGCGCTCATGCTACGAAGTCGTCGCGCCGGCTTCGTCATACGATCACTGAGAAACCAATCAATGAGAAACCCTAATTATTACATTATTAAATAAGGCTGAGTGAGGCGGACCCGGCCGTCAATCATCGCCTGTCCTCAGGCGTCCCTTCTCACCAATTAAGCATTTCCATTCATGAGAGGAGAGCAAAGCGAAACGGCGTTTTGTAATTCATTTCCTTCATAAGATATCAGACTCATAAATTAGAAGGTGTCGGAAAATATAGACCGAGATTCTAAATCCGTATGCTGTTTAGAGTACCTACCAGGACCAGTGTTTACAGTGTCCATCAAGCATGAACTCAGGAATGTAAACTACATCAGTGAGTTGGAACTTTTTAACACCGCAGTACTCCACATCTTATCAGCATTGGCGCTCACGGCACCAAAACAGCCAGCAATGTCGATCTGACAAGAGCACATAGTAACACAAACACCTGATTTTAGAAGCGGCTCCGCATCAAACGCGGCTCTCATCTCTCCGGACCCGCCTTGTCATCGAGCGGCGGAGCGGAGAGGGCACGGCCGCGGCCCGGTCCCGGTGGGAACGGAACCGCTCCGTCGGTCCCATCAGCCGCCAGTACACACAGAGGTGAATACCGCCGGGGACTCGCAGTGGCGGCGGCGCCCCAGGTGCCGGCCCGGTGGCGCCGGCCGGCCGCGCCAGCCCTCTGCACGGTGCACTGTGCACCACACATACTGCAGTGCACGTGTCTGGCGGCGGTGGCTATTTTTAGCCCGGTGCACGGGAGCCGGTTCCATCGCCGCCGGCCAGACAACACGGACAGCCGACACAGGGGGTATATTACAGCGCGGAAACGGCACGATACGGACACAATACGACAGCAGGGACACAGCGGCACAGCATGGACAACAATGGCAAAGCAGCACAAGGACAGAACATTCCAAACATCGGCCACTCGGCACGGCACGGACACCATGATGATTGATGACTTTTAACTTCGGCGTTTGAGGCCCCTTCGCGTTCGATCACGAAATGAAAATGCTCAAACGCATTGCAGGCGCTGTAAAGAAGGTAGTCAGTCACTCGGAGAAAGCTAACCATGTGGATTATGCACTAGCTATGCAGAATGAGTAGGTACCACCCGCAGCACGAGATGTATGTAGGTATAGGTAGTTAATAATGCATGCCGTTTCCGAGTAAGTTTCCTCTCGCCTATCAGTAGAACACGGCATGCGTGCAATGTGCATGTTCAACTGACGATCGGCCTGTGTGCACTGTGCACGTCCCATGCGAGCTGACCCGCGGACCGAGTTTCCCTCCCTCTCCGCGATGTCACGGCCCGGCCCGGCCCGGCCGGCTGTGGTGCGATCCCCAGTGCTGACACCGCTCCTACTGTCTATACCGACCGCATGATCAATCCCAAGGGCGACCAGTGAACTTTGCCGACGACCTTTCCCGCTGCAACCAACATTGGGCTGTTGCGAGGGATGTGCTATGAATTCAGAATCGTCAGACGTGTTTTAGGCCTTTACCGCACAGCGCATTAAAATGGTGATCATACTTACTGCCGATACCCAATAGAAAACATATTATAGGTAAGTACCACAAACAAGATAACTTGTTTAAAACTTTAAAAGGTCCTTCTTAATAAAAATAAAACGCAAGAGGCTGAATGCATAATGTGCAGTTAACCTGCCACACAATGCACAGTTTATGCATTGCTTAATGCATTGGGATACAGTCAATTGCAAATGATTTTCACTCTGAACATCCGTATTGAACGATAATACGTAGTTAGATATTATCCAGACGGAGGATATTAATTTCTTAACCAAGTTAAGCAGATGGCACTGGACTGGTTCATTATTCAGTGATTTCGGAATTATTAAGTTGAGCCCCACCTCGGTAAGAAAGCCCGTGTAATGCTACGCGTTGGGATTACCTAAAGTTTCCTGGGCTTGCACTGACTGATCCGCCGCGCGTGGTGACTTCTGGCATGCCTAAGCGTATAAGGAACATAAAATCGAAGTCGAAACCCACTATCGAGTTTGCTTACCGCTCGAAACTTTCGACACCAGAAAACGTTAACTGAAAAAGGGACAGTTCAAGACAAAACAGGAGATGATTATATTATTGATTACAAAAAAAAAAATAGATCGTGTACTTATTCAATTTCACATGACAGATGGAAGAAACATCACCATTCAACGCATCAGCCGCTACTTTAAAACAGATTTTCACTGATGCGTCTATGGGTGGGCACATTTGTGTTGGACTTTAGATCACCTCACGCATGTTCTTTGTTCATGTACCTAAATGCTAACTCAGCCAGTGTACGCCCGTGTTGCAGGCCGCTATGCCGGGTGACCGACAGCCTGCCGACCGTGGACGTTTATTGACAGACTGTGGTTCCCAGTAAGGCAGTAACGCCTAAAGGTCCAGTTCAAACTGGCATTCTGTAGGTATCGCCGATGCTAGCAGATGTCGCAAGGCGTTATGTTCATCGGAAAGACATCAGGCATATCTGAGCTAAAAATAGATTTTGTCAAGTCATCCTGACGATGTAGGTGAAATGTGACCGGCTACTTCTCAGAAACCATGTGTTGTCACTTGTATGTACATACTACGGTCTACGAGTTCGATATTTGTGCGCACATCGCATACATAACAAGCCGATGGACCGGAAAAGCAGTGAACAATAGGCGTTCCTGGCCGACGCGACCGACGCAGGACCCGCGGGCGGCGGTTCGGGGCGGGAGCGGGGCCGGGTCGTGGTCCCGCAGTGCCCGTGGGCGGCCGGCGCGCAGCGACAGCCAGCACAAACGGCCGCACCCGCGCCCACCGCCTTTGGTAGCGTCGTGCCCGGCCATGGGTCAGGTCAGAGGGCACCCGCCCCTCTGATATAGCGCATTGTGAGCGCCTGCCGCCGGCAGAGACCGGAGCATGACACTGCACACAGGGACACAGACTCAGAGACAGAGACGGGTTATCGGTCACACCGCAGCTGAATAAGGCCAGCGGGCGCTGTGAACCGAACGAGCAGCCACAGGTGTATGCCGCCAACTCAGTAACGGATATACGGCACAATGCAAATCACAG